CCCCAAAACCCCAAAACCCCAAAACCCCAAAACCCCTATTTACTCATCAACAGTTGAGAAGAATTATGGTAAATTATTAGAATTCTTAACTTTCTTGACAACCTTCTTAATTCCTCCAGCACAAGTACCTCCAAATGAAAGCTTTATAGAAGTCATGGGGTCACTCTCTATTGCATTTCTCAACTTCTGGGCGATTCTTCTTAAATTTCTAGTCTCCTCTAAGTTCTTCTTCAGCTCAGATCTTGCGGTTTCAAGCGTTTTAGTAAGTGCTTCAATCTGCTTATTGGATACCTTGACCTCAACCTTAGTTGCTTCAAGCTCACCTGTTACTTGTTGATACTTAAGGTTCAGGAAGTCTAGATCTTTCTCATATCTCTGGATAGCCTTGGCAGGATCTGAACTACAACTCTGGATAATCCCTTCAAGCTTAGAGTTTTGTTCTTGATGAACATCAATTTCCATCTCTAATTGAAGGATCTTTTTGACTCTTTCCTGAAAATCTATCATAATTTTCTCTTTTTCTGTGATAAATTGCTGCTTGATTTCTTCAAGCTTATCGTCAGCCATTGCGTCTGCAATCTCTTCTAAGTCTGACTGATCAATATTGGCGAGAGATGCTATCTTAGCTTGGAGGTTGCTGTTCTCTTGCTTTAGTTTTGATATCTCTCCCTGATTTTTTGAAAGGAGAGTTTGAATTTCTTTCTGCTTACTTATGATCTGTTCAATATCGGTAGGAGCTAGATAGCAAGAATCTTGACAAGGGATAAGATCTATGTCTCCTCCCTTTATTAAGAACCTTTTGAGAAGGGGATTCCCAAGCTGATTATCCTCGTTTTTATCTCAGTTATTTACCCAATTATCAGTCTCTTTTAGAAAATCTTGTATTTCAGAACTAGATTCTTGCTGTTCTAATTCTCTTGATAATAATCTATCATTCTCTTCAGTCTTGTTCTGAAGGTCCTTGATCGCTTTCTTTAAGAATTCAAATCCTTCTATAGCTTCTTTAATGTAATCATTATTTTGGCTGATCTCACTAGCAATGAATTGAGAATTCTTGCAATCGCCTCTCTCTAATTGTGCTTTAGTAGCAATATAAAGCTTCTTGAACTCAGTTAGCTCTCTTTCAGTTTTGATAAATTGAGCATTTTTAACTAAAATATTAGAGATAAGAGGCGAATGGGCTTACTCTCAAGTTCATTCTTGGTCTTCTCTGCATCTTCCTTGAGTATGTTGATTTTTTGATTGGCTTGTTCCTTGTATTCGATGTAATCTTCCTCAAGCTCTGAGAATTTAGGCAGCTTAGAACTCACAATCTGCAAATCTTCCTGGAGATTTGCGATAAAATCGACTTGGGCTCTGCACCTTGCCTTCTCATGAGTTAAGCCTCTAAGTGTTTTTAAAAACTCAGTGCAGATTTTCTGCTCTTTATCTTTGGCATCTATAGAGTTGGAGTGTACTAGTTGCAAAAATTGCCTAGCTTTTTCCTTTTGCTCTTCATCAGGAATGTCAAAGATCCAGGATTCGTGCTGTTCAGATTCATCGGTGTCTTCAATTACATCTTGAGAAGATGATTCACTGTCAAGATACTCATCTGAGTCTTCTTGTATAAATTCCTGCTTGTTTTCTTTAGAGCATTCTTGAAGTTCTGTGTTTGGGTTTAATTCTGAGTCTGAATTATTAACAAGATTTAGTCAAGCCTCTTCGGAAGGGACCTCAAAATCGCTTTGCTTAATGAAAATTTCTAAGCCTCAGACTCTTTTTCTAAGGGATGTAATGAGTCTGTCTTTCTTGGAGATAATTTGCTTGAGCTCTTCAACAGTAAACTCCTTGTTTATCTTAGGTCTGTTCTTAATGCTCCTGGCTGCAGTTCCAAATCTAAGTGTTGACATTGTCTCCAATTCATTATATGGAGAAGGAGATCAAGTAATGATCAGAGATGTCTTAGCATTACCACCTAAAGATTCAGTAAGGATCCTGGTGAGCTTGGACTCTCTGTAAGGGACATGACTCATTTTCTTATCAGTGAGAGCATGAATCACTTTTCCTAGTGTGCTAAGTGACTGGTTAATCCCTTTAGCTTCTTCAAGCTGGGTTCCTTGGACATTGGTTTTTGCAACCTTCTCAGAGCCAGCAAGGTCAACCAAGTATAGATTTCCAGACTTAGATGAATGGTCATCAAGGTTCATTTGAGCTATATTCATGATGAAGATAGAGTGAGATCTAGAAGATACATCATTCATCATTGTGCTCGCAATAGTTCGGTTGGAGTTGCCAGTCTTCATGATTTCATAGATTTCGACTTCTGATGCAATGTATTTCTCAGTAAGATCTTGAACATAAATCCCTTTCTCTTTACTTTGCTTGATCTGGAGATTAACTTTAGACGGTTCAAGCAAATCTTTTATCTTCTCCATATAGATTTCTGTCATAGATACTTTGATGGTGTACTCAATGTTGCCATCAGTAGAATTTATCCTATTGAAAATGGTTCTGACCATTCTTGGAACAATTCCTTGTTGCTCAAGGTCTTCAATATCAGGCCCTTGCATAGTATGGGTTTTACCAGAGCCAGTTTGCCCATAAGCAAAGACAGTTCCATTGAATCCTTGAAGGACACCCTCGATAATAGGCTTGGCAGCTGCTTCATACACTTCCCTTTGTGATACCTCAGAATCAAAGACTTTATCAAAGGTAAACTGGTTACTACTTGCTGCACTTTTTGTGCAAGAAATTGTTACTGACTTTTTATTCTCACTAAACTCTCATATACTAGAATCTCCATCTTTATCAATCTCGCTCTGGCTCAGTGGTCTGAACCTACAGATGACCTTGACATTCCCAATGGTCGCTTCTTTGTCAAGTTTTGAAGTTTCCTGAGTTTCTTTGGTTTCCATAGTTTTCAACAAATTTACTAATTTTTCAATATTTTCAGTATAAAACGGGGTTTTGGGGTTTTGGGGTTTTGGGGTTTTGGGGTGATTGGCTAGCGGTAGATGAGTAAT